ACTAAAACGACTAAAATTATTTATATTTACACAAACGTAACATGTACCCTTTCAACAATAGCTTCTTAACAATACAGTTTTTATTGTTTAATTTTGATGAAAATTCAGTAAAATTTGTATCATTTAAAAGACAGAAATAAACGAGAAAAAGAAAAAAGTTAACCTTAAAAATTTAGTAACAAATTAATTGTAATTACCCACAATTTTATTTAGCTTGAGCTGATTTACCACAACTTTAAAATTGCAAACTGCGCCATAGAATCGTGAAAATTTAAAAGAAATGTTTTAATTGTCAAGAAATAAAAAATCTAGTTAATTATTACGAAACATCTGTTCAGTCACATAGATTGATTTAAATTCATTAATATATGCCTTATTACGTAATTCTCGCAATTTTGTACAGTTTATTGATTAGATGAAGATTCCATAAATTTTAAGTTATTTTAAACATATTAGGGTAAAACAGAAAACTTCTTAAATCTTCTTAAATTATCATCAAATGAAGATACAGGGTGAATCACAACTCCATCCAAAATGGATACCCAATAACTTTGAGAGGAAATGTTAATTTGACAAATTTGTTGTAAATTTGTCGATAATCTTGCTACAACTTCTCTTTACAATTTGTTACAAGATTGTTAAAGTTACTCAAAATTTTCATATACGAAGTCTGTTCAGAAAATAACCGAACGTTTGGAATTACGCGCTAAATGGAGATATATGTATAGTGATTAGCGGTTGGCAGGCTTATGTTGCGCATAACCTTCTCTGTAACCACATATTAACATCTTAATTAATGGGGTCATGCCATGAAATTTTGATTGAAAAATTGAACATGTCTCGAGTTGCAGAATTTGTTCCTCGTTTAATGACCGAACAGTAGAACGAAAATCGTGTGGACCTTTGTCGGTAACTCCTCGAACAATTCAATGACGATGAAACATTCATTCAAATGATCATAACGGGAGACGAAAACTTCTATTGCTGTTTGCTTGTATGGTAATGTTGTTAAAATTGTAATTTTGTGGAATATCATTTTAGCAATAACAAAATGGCAAAGACTGAAGATATTTGTCCATAAAAACATAATACTTTTACGGCCTTTATTTCCAAGATACAAGGTATCGAATTTTTTTGGTTTCTGCATCTTTAGTTTTGGAACATTTTTTACATATTTTTAACATTGTAGTCTCTTCTCTACATCTCGAAAATACAATTAAAATTTTAGTATAGGAGCTACTAAAACATTTCCATAAATAACAGTTAAATGTTAGTTTTCGAAAAAAAAATATATAACTACATCTATAATGGTAAGTACCGAAAATAGTTTTATTTATAATTACTTTATTTTAAAGGTACCTAATTCAAATAAATTCAAATTCATTTTCGAAAATTCTTGCCAAATGAATTAAAACAATGTTCTTCAAAAGATATTCAAAAGATATCTGCCTTATTCGATTTCATTAGACAGGATTTTTCGAAAACATTTATGAATTTATTTAAATTAGTTTAGTACTCAGCAAACACGATAGTTGGTACATAAATGTTCATATAGACAACCATCAATGACTTTTATGGCCCAATTATATGCGGCTTGGCCGGCTATTTTGTTTTTACGTACAGATATATAGGTATTTTGTCTCTACTGGTAGAATCCATTAACGTTTGCAAATGCTATACTTTTCGTATAATCGGTATAGAAAAATGGATATCTTAAATACTGAACAATATTATTATGTATACGTGACAGTAAAGTGGGATGATCCTTTGTTTATTTAATGCCAACTAATTGCTCACTGCAGTTGCAGGCTTGAGGATTTTTCATTATCAATTATTCAAGTGCCACACATTATTTAGATACTGTCGCATGTCGTGTCAGTCCTATCAATCAGCAAAAAAAAGGAACAGCGTAAAAATGAAAAAATGAACACGGAAATTTTCTTTATTCGACCCTCAAGTCTGCAAAATGTAATTGTATGTGTGGGGTGATTCCAATCCTTTTAGATAATACCCTAAAATAAAATAACATGGCAAAAAACTTGATTTGTATTTTTTTATTTTGAATAAAATTATTATTTAACTCATTATTTGCGAAAATGTAAAAGTAAAACAAATTTGGCTGTGGTGAGCTAGACTATCTATGCCTCAATTGTGCCGTCTATTAGCAGGAAGCTCAATTAGAATCTGATATCGCTGTCCTCCTTTCATTTAGTAGTAAAAAACAAAGAAGAATTACTTAAATAAAAAGTTTTTTGTAATAACATATACATACTCGTAGTCGTAGTTATTAAGGAAATTGCCTGCACAATTTTTTAGATTTGTATTCAGTGATAAAACACTAGAATTTTTTATGCAAACACTCCACTATAAACTTATAAACCTCCCAAATAGCACAATATATTTCCATGATATCATATTAATGTCCTACTATAGCGCACATCCCGGGATATTGACTGTGTACTTCAGGAGACTAGCCGTGTAATGCTGGTTGCCTAAGCCCGACAGTCACGTGGCTTGTAGTCATTTGTGAAAGCTCTATAGTAGCAACTTTGACTAGATAAGAAGAATTTTAATAAGATTACAGCACATTCATGATATAATATTTATTGACGGGTTAATATATATCGAATACATATTAATCCTACAGAAAGCTCACTTAAAGAATCTACCTATAAAGCGTCTTGTAAATTGGTGATGGGTGGTCCGTACGATATTTGTTGAGATATAATTTCAAAAAGACTCCTGCGTCACTTTTTTGGAATTAACCGCATTCGACACCCGAGGAAGAAAGACATTGGTGGAAAATTTCGAAGTACGCCTCTGCCGAGGTAAATTGTTACGGTAGTGCCGATAAACTGAACTTTACTGGCTTATTATTTTCTTGGAATTCTATCTCAACAAATATCTACGGACTGTAGGTATGTGGTACATACAAGAGGTAGAAAAACGCTGTTAGACCACTACTCTATTGGAAAAAAAGCAAATGCTTGTCCAAAAATCTACTACTGCATTTTTATTTGTAAGAATATTTGAAATTCGTGAAACAGTATTAAGCCTTTTTGCAAAGAATTTTACTGTGGATTCATATTTTTATTTTGTGGTTTTGGCTCCGGAAAATTCTAATAAAGCACTTTTAGCTTTCCTAGAATGTACCATAACTACAAAAAAATTCAATAACGTACCAATGAAACAAATATTTAGTGACATTGCATATAAATATATATTTAAAAAAATCTTTTAATTTTTCAAACAATAGGTATAGGGTACTTAAAATTTTAAAAATTCAGTTTCTAATTAAAACTTTTTCTTAAAACTGCGCTTGTTTAAGATGAAAAATTTTGACTAAAATTATGTTGAATGTTTCACACGATTATAACCTATTACACAGCCACACAAAAAAACAAAATGTGCATTTCATGCGACATATGTTATCCGTATTTTTGCCTTCTGATCATGAATCCGGTGTCAGAATTGAGCTATCACATCACAGGAATTTCCTAACTTCAAAAAACAGGTGAAAAATAGAAAAAATTCACGAAAAAGTGCTAAGAAAAATACAATTTTTTTTTCTATATTCAAATGTTCATTTATATGACTAAGACCCCGCCGAACGTGAATCAGCGGATAAAAATTTTTTTCTAACCTCAAAAAACGGGTCAATTGAGGTCAGATATCACGAATTTTCAAAAAATAACAGATTCGCGCAAATTTGGTATACGGGGGTTTTTGGGGTCGCTGATCACGGCTCCTAGGTCAATTTTGCAAAATTCAAGATGGCGGATACAAGATAGCCGACCAGATTTTCAAAAAATAATACATTCGCGCCAAATTTGGAGGAGGTTTTCGGGATCACACATCACGAATCCGAGATTAGATTTACAAAATTCGTTTTTAAAAATTTAACCTATGTAGGTACTTTAAGAGGGTTAAAACATGATAAAACCCCCGTACCTATACCAAATTTGCCGCGAATGTTATTTTTTTGAAAATTCGTGATATCTGACCTTAATTGACCCGTTATTTTGAGGTTAGAAAAAGAACCATTAATTTTGATCGCGGATTCACGTTCAGCGGGGTCTTAACCATATAAATGAACATAAAATTGTATTTTTCCTAGCACATTTTTGTGAATTTTTGCTATTTTTGACCTGTTTTTTTGAGGTTAGGAAATTCCTGTGATGTGACAGCTTAATTCCGGCACTGGATTCGTGATCAGGAGGCAAAAATACTACGGATATGTCGGATGAAAAGTACAGACAACATTTTATTTTGTGTGGCTTTGTTATTATTGGCTTAGCTTTTGGGCCGGAATACCTGTGTCCTTGAACTTTGAAAAATGAAGTACTTTTATTGTTAATGCGACATTGACAAATTATAAAAATATTTTCATTAAATGAGTCCTCTAGTATCAAAACCCCTTAAATCCGTTTTTGATGAAAAATGAGATATACGCTTCAAAATATTCCTACTAAAATTAGGAATATTTTGAAGCGTATATCTCATTTTTCATCAAAAACGGATTTAAGGGGTTTTGATACTAGAGGACTCAAATATTATATGAACCAACTGTATTGAAAATGCCGAATTGACAGATTTATTATTGTTGATCTGAAGTTCCTATCAATGTAAAAGTAGAGTCAAAAATCGTCATAGGCATTGCTTAAAAGACTGAGAGTAATATCCCGTTGGATGTACCTAAGTGAAAAAAATGTTTTAGTGCGCAAATATCTATTTGCTAAGTTACACATTTCACTTGCAATAAAATTAAGTCTGGTAAGTTTATTTTAATTACTCAGCGACACAAAAAATAAAGAATGTGTCTCAGAGCCGAACAGTTGGAATAATCTGAATCCACAATGATTTTTTTACAAAAACATGCTGTTTTCAACATATTAAAACGAGATCTTCTCGTATAATGTGTACTATTTATTTTGATAGTTGGTGACATAGATTTGAAGCAAAAATTTGTTGGTTTTCTTATCTTTCCATTTTCACTTCCATTATCTATACACTATCATCATCGTCATGTAGGAGTAGGTAGTTTTTATTATCTAAAAATTACTCTGATTGTTTATAAATTACTGGAAACATTTATGGAATATGTAGCTAAATTTTATGAAATACGTTATAAATATTGTAACAAAAATCACCCTATACTCCGCGGTTGAAATTATAAAGAGTGACTAAGACATAATATAAAAACACTATTACCATAATGCGTATAAAATATAAAATGATTTTTATACGGTTCAATATTATTTATCTTTGTGCCGCTCGCTACGCACATCGATAGAATCTATAATCGTCTAGAGACCGAGTTACACTGAACGTCGATCTATATTCTATCTCTGTCTTTTGCACTTGGTAGGGAATAGGGAAATGCTTTTTTAGTGGGTGTAAACGGACTTGATTTAACCCGTCCTGAGAAACGTCATAGCATAAGCGTAGACGAGGGGTCTAATTCCATGGCTATAATAAATTTATAAATTAAAAAACACAATTGGGACGTTTTAAAATGCTGTAATAATTAAAATGGATCAAAATGCCTGTTTATAGCAAACCGTAAAAAATATTAGATGTTATGTTTTATTATCTTTTTTCGTTATTTTCTATATCTTGTTGCCTTTTACGCAGACACGCTAATGGATTTTCGTTCCCGGCACGCTTCATCCCCCTTACTAGTCAAAAAGTTAGCGATTAGTCACTCTCTATAATTTCTGCCGTGGAGTATAGTGTACATAGTTTAAAGATGATGTACGAAGAAGCAATTTTATATTGTTATACATTATTTTCTGAATTTTCTGAACACTTTAGACTTACGCCTAAAAATGTATTCAAAGTCATGGTGGAAAAAGGGCCTATATCCAATCCAAGTGGTCTATTCGCTCTTAGTATTACTAAAGACATCAGTTGCTTCACTTGGTGTGGTTCGTTATACCATTCGCATTCGTAAACAGCTGAAGAAATTTCAATGCTCTGAAATAAATGAGATATGAGCAATTCCATCCATTCATAACAAAATACACTTTGATATTTCTAATTGAGAAGATTTTTTTATTCAATACATACCTCCACCATGATTTCGTTAGCGTACCAATAATAGACAGTTAGTCTTAACAGCATACAAATTATAAACTGGCCGTAGATTATTATGTTAAATATTGTGGGTTTGCTCTAAAAAGTTGAATAACAATTATTATAAACATATTTGTGGTTAAAATAATAAAAACAAAAACAAAATTTAGAAAAATGGATGGTTATAATTTGAGATGATGGCAAAATACTGTAAACTGTAACAGTAAAAAGTGTAGAAGAAAGAAATTTTTCTGTAGTTAACATTCCCATAAGGGCATTGTACAAATCATTTAAGAACAAATTTGGAACTTATAAAACATTATTATTTATAGAAATGAGAAAGTAATAACGTATCTTAAGGTAATGACGAAACTGATACTTTAAGAAGTTATTTTTCAGTTGTTCCGATTTTTAGAAAGTCACTTTTTCCGAACGGAAGAGAGTGATAAACCGTTTGGCGCTACATCAAGAATACATTTTTAGTGGGTTAATTTACGTTATCACGCGAATCGTGCATTGAACATTGAACAAACGAATGAACTGTCTAAATAGATGAAAGAAATTTGAACTGAGGAACCACAAAATAACAATAAAAATATTATGCCAAGAACACGAGTCGACCGTAAGACCATAAGTTGCAGTTGGCGATATTCTAAAGATGGGTAAAATCCAGAAAGGTCAATAATCCTGACCTAAGGCGGACATCGCTCTAGGTCCTCTGTAGACCCCTCAAGGACTGTGATTGAACGTCAACCTTCCAGTTTAATAATCGGTACATGTGCATGCTCCAAATTTTATACATTATCTTATAATCCAATACAATATACAGGGTGCCCCGTAATGAACTATAGACAGAGTAACAGGTGATTTGTAACGTCATAATAATGTCATCTGGTCAAACCTACCTCAGTCCAAAAGTTGATGGTAATCGAGTTACAGGGTATCAAAGTGAAAACTTTATTTTCAATTTTTTTAAATAATTGATGCATTTAAACGAAATTTGGTATCCCGCTGTTTTTTTTTTGTCATGAAAAATTCAAATTTTCTCATCTCCGATCCCAACAATCTGATTAATACAATCACAGTTTCCGAAAACTCCTCTTATATTATGTATATAAAATTAATTTTTAGTTAACAAATAATGTAACTTTAATTTTATACAAACCAGAAGGAGTTGTACTGCAAGAGAAGCTAACTGTAAAGAACTCTGCAAGAAATCTAGTAGCATTATGTTTTTCACGGCATTATTGTAATCCTTTAGGTACCTAAAAAATGTATGAAATGTACAGGGTGTAAAGCTGTGGAAAATAATCTGGATTATCACTGATTAAAATATAATTTGGATCTTAAAAATACAAAAATTATTACGCTCCAGTGGCGTGCCAATATGTAACCAGCGTACCTCATATCTACGCGACAAGTTTTGAGCAAATAAATAATTTTTTTACAATGAATACCAATTTATTTGTGCATAATGCACACAAAATTTCGTTTCTTGACTGTTTTACATATAAAAAGTTTGAGTTTAAGAGCTTGACCAAATTCATCTTGTCCATAAATCTATAAATTACATATTCTATACAGGGTGTTTCTGAAATAAGTGCGTTCGTTGAAAAGGGTGACAAGGGACAAGAAAATGAGCATTAAGCAACTAATGGTCTAAAAAATGCCTCTGTTTTCGAGAAAATTAATTAAGAAAATTAACCATAAGCCAACCCTGTGCACCTTGTGCGTTGTGTGTTGCAGTATTACTTAGCCGGCGTATAAAATGTTTTCGGATCAAGTCTGTTTAGAAATGAAAGAGAGTAATAAAAGCTTATTATGTATGCAAATAGTAAATAAATGTAGTACTGGTGCTTATATTCAATATTTTTATATTATGTATTTTCCGTATAGATGAGGTGTACTTTTAAAAAACCTTGTGTAACCGGGTTGTACTAAATTGTAGCAGGTAGCTAAAATTTAATCCCCGACAATCCGTCTTTGTCTATGCCGCTTCAATTTCTCGGTCCATTTCTCTTATAAGTAAACAATATAAAAACAGCATTTCAAAACATGAGGCTACTTTAAGCATCATAACCGGGTTAAGAGGGTTTTTAGTAATTCAAATAAAATTATTCAATATTATTATCAAAATATTTATTTAAATTTAATGAATAGACTTTTATTCCACACAAAAATATATGTATTTTGAAAATTCAAATTATGGTGAGTAAATGTAGTGTTGTATAAATGTACAATAAAGAAAATAAAAAAGTAGGTATATTAAAATTCATCCTCTGAATATTCTGATGAATTATCTTCGTCTCCTAGATTGATAACGATAGGTTCCACAGTAACGTCAATTAAATTATCGAGTTCCCACATTTTCTCCTCTTCTTTTTGTACATGATGTATACATCTTTGCCAGTTATCTGCAGTTACTCGTTCCAAGGAATTTTTTAACAAAATTTTCACGTCACTTAATTTAAACGTCGTATTATTTCGCGCTACATCTCCTTTTACCTGCGCCCAGACTAATTCGATTGGGTTAAGTTCACAGTGATAAGGTGGTAACCGTAGTACCGTTATTTGGCGATTTGTTGCCATTTCATCGATAACATATTTTTTCTGATCTTTATTAAGATTGACAAGTGTCAAAAGTTCCTTTTTCACCATATTTGTTTCAAAAGAAATGTTTTTTCCGGATAACCATTGAATTATATCGGCTTTCCTCCAAGCAGTCGTAGGCGTCCGCTCGGTCTGCCGTGAATGGTAACTGGCATTATCCATGACAATTACAGACCCCGGAGGAATAAGATCCAACATCTGTGTAAAATACTCTTCGAAAACATCTGCGTTCATGTCTTCGTGATAGTCACCTGTATTTTTAGATTCAAATAAAAGTAAACCGCCATCTACAAAACCACTGGCACTACCTATATGTGTCACTATTAATCTTCGCCCTTTACCTGAAGGTGCCTTGAACCCTGTTGAAAGTCCATCCAAAAATGCTTGTCGAAAACTTTTTACATTTTTATCTTGCCATACTTTTGTTACAGTATATCCCTCGTTGACCCAAGTTTCGTCTAGATAATAAATATTCCTCCCTTCGTCACGGAATTTTCTAATTGATCTTAAGTAGGATCTTCGCCAACAAATAATTTCATCTTTATCGATAAGAACTGACTTCCTGTTCTGCTTTTCCCAGCAAAAATTCAACTCTCGTAAGACGGCCCATAATTTGCTTCTACTGATTTTTGGCAAATCGTTGTCCTCTGAAAGTTCACTTAAAATTTTGTTTAGCGTTGGTATTTCTTTTTTAAAATAAAATGAGTGTACTTTTCTGCGAATGACATTTTTGAAGAAATCATCTATAACGACTTTTGACCTCCCTGTAGATGATTTTGGGGGATTTACAGTATCTTGTTCATTTTTTGTTTCCTTTAAAAGTCTGTAGATAGTCGATTTTCCAATCCCTGTCATTTTTGTTAGCATTAGTGTTACCCGATAATTACCTGAAACGAAATATTACCACGCCCATGGCCGGTTCTTATCTCGGGGTTTTATTACTCTCTTTCATTTCCAAACAGACTATAGTAGATATGGTGTTAATGTACGGAGAATATCAGTACAATTTAAATAAGATGCGTATTTACACGTATGTGGACTAATTTTGACCGTCGCGTCGCGTCGTTTGGAAGCGTGTTTATTATTAAGTACGTGGAAACAAGTTTGAACAATTTTTGTAGAGCATTATAGTCTATTGGTAAGTAATTCATTTAATTTTTGTGCTACTTTTAAACGAGATTTGAATAAATTCAGCATTTTTGAATACCCTATATAGTATAAGAATATTAATGTCTAAAGTACAAAATAACGGCTTTTACCCAATTATTTTCTTATGTTTCAAAATACACTCCCTCAATGTAAGAAAGCTGGCCTTATCTCTAGTGCACTGCATCTGATTTTTGACTTTCGCCACATATTCCGAAAAATTAGATAAAACGTGTTGCAAAATCCTGATCTGTCCTAAAGGGAATATTATCATGCTGAAGAAAAAGGCATCCGTGAACATGACGTAACAAGCCCCGACGGATCCATCGAATACGTGGAACATGAAACTCATCAGGTAGTGTTCTTGCGTGTCGTATGGGAACCAGGACGACAGGGGTAGAGCTTTTACCAGAATGGTTTCGTTCGTGGCAGCGTCAAACTTCACTACAGCTTCGGCGTACATGGAGTTGATCAGGTAGCACACAGTTTCTGAAAATGTAGTCATTTAATACGTAGGCGAGGTTCAGTACAAAATCGCCTATGTTTCCAATACACTCGTCAATCCGCTCAAAATCAGCGTTCATGGCTCAATTTCAGCCACAGCAGATACATCCAACATTGAGAGCAGTTTCGCAACCAGAAAAGGGAATTCACACGTTTGAAAAAATTGCGTATCTTTCGAAAATTTCACGCGAAGTTCCGCAGACGACGCGATCGAAATGCGATCGTTCCGGCGACCTTCACATCGATATCGACAGGCACGCGAATGAGCGCTGTATGCATCCGACAATAAATTGCTAATGTTTCCAAAATTCGACCGTCAAGCTGCCAGAACGAGAAATACCACACCGGGAGGTCTCCGTTCCATCGAACAATGACAGCAATAAATGCCAAAGCTTCCCGTAAGGTCGCCGACGAGAGACGAGGATAAAGGAAATTTCGACTAACTTACAAAAAATGTTAACTTTAAATTCAATCTCTTGCAAGACCTTCGGGTCAATATTAACATTTTGTCTAATTTCAGACTTCTAACTTGAGAATAAACGAATAAAATTTTATAATTGTTAATTAAATTAATATTTTTTTTTCTATGTACCTATATATCCTAAGAGATCCCGTACCGCTGGTTGAATACCACTAATATTGAGGGCGAGTCAAATAATTGTCCCATTCCCTTTTCTCGCTTATGATGGAAGATGGAAGCAAAACAAAAAGATAGGTCCAGCCTTAAAAATGGGGCTTTCCCCACGACATTTTTCATTTAGGCACCTCTAGGAACAATGTTGTTTTGATATTTGGATCATCACTTCAGAGAACATCTACTTTGCTAACCTTTCTATTTTATTAAGGACATGTTTGCACACATCTTGCATCCTATGTACTGTACTTGTAAGTTTTCTATAGCTATTTTTTTTACTTACCTAACATAATATTACCAATGAATAGCAAATTAGTAATCTGACTTTGCCTTACGTGGAACTTATATATCTCAATAACCTCTTCGTCGTTGCTGTTGAGAATATCCTCTTCGGTAGCCAAGATGTCCTTTATTAAATTTTTAATCGTTTCGCCTTTTACAGACCACACCCTCATAGCAGTGATTACATGAAGAAGGGTAATGCAAAGATTGGCCATTATTTGTTGCACCTCGGTCTCATCGTCTTGAATCAGAATGAAGAGTTGTATGATGGCCGACAAAATGAAGATGATGAAGTAATAGAACAAAAATTTGGAGTAGGTGTCGTATAGTCGACGTCGACTTGAGTTTTCTTGGAATACAAACGGCCATATTCCCACTATGGAGCTGGTGTATATCGAAATCTTGAGGTGCTCGTTCTTAGGAAAAATCTGGATAAATACGACGTGATTATATAGTTATTAGAAGCAAAAGTAGGAGATAATTAGATAAGGTTTGCTACTTTTACTTTATCGTAAAAGTATTTGTATCATGCGGTCATCTAAAGATTTTAAATATCTAGTTACGTTAAAGAAATAACTGTTTAGTCAAGTTAGTTAGTAATGATAATAAGATATTTAATTACAAATCTGTACAAATAGTACTAATGAAACAACACATAACAGACATATATTGAAATCATCCAAATTATTATATATATATTATTTTTATTTCTAATAGTTATAACTTGGTAGTTAAAAAATTGGTTAAAAAACTTTTAGAGATTCCGTTATTATTTTTACCTAATTAACTGTACTTTTACTGTATAATTTCTTGTGTAAAAGCTAATAAAATATTTTTTTATAGAACATAGTAGATAACATTTATATTATTTACACATTTCTTAAGTTTCATCAAATTTTAGTTATCATTAATGCAGAAGGGTGAACATTTATTTAAAAGAAAGATTCAAAATAAACGTGAAAAAAATGCCACTAAACAATAGTAATAAATCTAGTAACTTTGGAATAAATTGTAAATACCCACCATTTTGATTAACTGGAGTTAGTTCACCGTAACTTAAAATTGCAAATCACGGTATGGCATAAAAATGGAAAAAGAATGATTCGATCCTTGAAAACTAAAGAAATTATAATGTCTACAAAATTACGTAACATCTGTTCAGTCTCATAGATTTATTTAAATTCATTAATATATGCATTATTAGGTACCTACCTACTTCTCAGAAATGTTATTGATTAGATAAAGAATATAGAACCTATTTATTATTTACGAAATTTAAATAATATAGAACAAATTATTTGTAGTTCCGAAGCATCCTGTAAAACTTCGTTTGATAAGGATTTAGGACGATTTAAAAATTCTTTTGATTTTGCATAATATGTAAAAATAACTTATAAGTGCGGGAGTTAATAATTACAAAATATATACCAAAAAATAATTCAGAAAAAATTGGTTTTATACGTAGGTACCTACCTAAACAGGGTATTCTGAAAGTCCGTCAGGAAATCCCGGGAAGTGATTCTACGGATTAAAATAGTAACATTATGTAATGAAATTTGTTTTCGAATTGCCAATTGTTTGCAAGTTACAGCTTGTCAAAGTTCAATTTTTTTAATTTTTCTATTTCAATAACTTATTTAATTCAAGTTCGATTAGTCTCTCATTTGGCACAACCACTAAATAGATGAAGCTCTATTGGACCAGTCAGAGAAAAGTTTCATTATGCGCCGATAGAGGGCACTTTACCTAGAACTCAAAATTTGTTTTGTTCATAACTTTTTTCTCTTGCTAGACATCACAGAAATTTAAACATTATTGAAAAGAAAAATAATATCAGAAAAAATTATGTACTCTTATTAATTCAAGTCGATAAATTTAACCGCAGGAAATCGCTATTAATCTCTATTAAAGTGTTATTAAACATCAAATATTTGATAATTATTTCTTCAATTAATCAAGTTGTCATGATGTAATACCACCTCTTGTAAGCTTCGTTAGTAAATAAAATATTATTAGTAAATTTATTATTCTCAGCTTATTTTTCCACAACGTATTACAGAGCCGAAAAAAATTATTTTGGTGAAAAATCAAACATACCTGCTTTAAACAATTTTTGCTACAATTCGTAACTCCAAAATTACTAATGAACTTATTTGAAGCATGGCAACTTGATTAATTACAGAAAGAATTATCAAAAATTTGATGTTTAATAACACATTAATAGCGATTACCTGGTAAACGGTTACATTTATCGGCTTGAACAAAGAGTACATATTTTTTTCTGATATTGTTTCTCTTTTCAATAATGTTTAAATTTCTGTGATGTCTAACAAGAGAAAAAAGTTATGAACAAAACAAATTTTGAGTTCTAGGTAAAGTGCCCTCTATCGGCGCATAATGAAACTTTTCTCTGACTGGTCCAATAGAGCTTCATCTACTTAGTGGCTGTGCCAAATGAGAGGCTAATTGAACATGAATTAAATAAGTTATTAAAATAGAAAAATAAAAAACTTGAACTTTTACAAGCTGTAATTTGCAAAGAATTGACCATTCGAAAAAAATTTTCATTACATACTGCTATTATTTTAATCCATAGAATCACTTCCCGGAGTTTCCTGACTGACTTTCAGAACACCCTGTATATCTACGTATAAAACAAATTTTTCCCGAATTATTTTTTGGTATATATTTTTTAATTATTAACTCCTGTATTTTTAAGTTATCTTAACATATTAAGCAAAATAAAAAGAATTTTTAAATCGTCCTAAATTCTTATCAAATGAAGTTTTACAGGATGATTCGGAACTACAAATAATTTTAAGGATATGTGCGCCAATTAAAATATAGTCCATATCGCTTAAAAAGTTTACAGATTCTGGAAAAAAAAGTTACAATTTATTATATTTAAAGAACACTTCGTAACTTGCTGCTCCGGCGTCTCATCCTTCAAGCCAACCGAAAGGGACGCCTGGGATAGAGAACCACGATGCTGTCGCTCTTCCTCCATTGACGACGAGATTGCTTGGCCTTGGAATAATGGCCCACGCCTTATTTTTGATTTTTTTTTGGGGGGGGTTTTCTTTTGCACTGTCTATGACATGCTGGGCTAGAGGCTAGAGCACTAAAGCTTATGAATGTGTGGCCTTCTTAGAGTGCGTGTATGAAAGCTTTAGGAGCTTGAGTTTGTGTTACGTCATTGGAGGGTTCGTGTTTGGAAACCTTAGAAGCTTGTATCCCTTAGGATCGTCACCGCAGAATGGACAAAGCATGTATGTGCTACGTGAGCTATATGGCTATGGTTGACCTCATTTTAATTTTTAAAAATTTAAATCGGTTTTGAGTTTTAAAAAATTGTGGTATTTATTGCTAATTTTGTGTTTGATGAGCAATAAATAAACGTATAATTGCATATAGTACTGACCAGAATCCGACACTGGTTATTGAACTGAACTTATGAGTTGACGTTCGATCACTATCGACGTTGACTCTACAAAGGATTGTATAGTAAGATCCGCGCTAGATTTGGAAAACCACGCCTCTGTAGCCTTCTTCTGTAAGTTGTGAGTCACCATTTTGTTTAATGATGACCTTACTTGCTGTTCGAACACCGAATTTTTTTGACTTAAATATTGTTAAAATTTCTCTAAATTTACTTTGATCAAAATCATTCAACGTGCAAGTCAAATGTGACAGTTTATTAAAATTTAAGTGTTTGGAAGAATAGAAAAAAACAGAAGCAAAGTTACCGTGTTAAATTATTTATTTAGTGAATATTTAATACATCAACACTAATCTCTAACAGCGCTACATATAGGGTGTAGCTAAAATTTATATATTTCTAAGGTGCTTCATATTCACTTCGATTTTCTTATGCAATCATTTGTGTTTTAATAAATAAATAGATAATTATGGCAATTTCTCCCAAATTGTTGCTTTTTTGTTTATCTGTACATGATCATCATGTAAGAGTAAGTGGTTTTTATAATCTGAAAATGATAAACTTTCATAAGAGAAATTAAAAACAATTGGTTGTTTTAGTTGCACATAAAAGAAATAACTATCACAAAGTTCTGAGTGAAATCCCACAAATAGGAAGTTCAATTTGGATATCTTACATACATTTCCACAACAGTGAACTGTTTCAGTAGTCTCAACATTACGTCTGTTTAAAAATTAATTAATTAATCATCATTAGCAGAATTCAATTTTGTATCATATTTAAATTTCCCGCTAGAAAGAACCAGTTAAAAATACTGACTTTTGTCAAAGCAACTACAGATTTTAAATTTGTTATACAAAAAAAAAACATAATATTGTACTATCAAAACTTAAATTGTCTGAAAAAGTTGAATGAAAAAATCTATTTTATATTGTTTGGAAATCGTCAATAAAACGCGTCTACACGCTTACTCCTAAAAATGTGTTCAAGGTCATGGTAGTGAAAGGGCCTATGTCCAGTCCTAAAGCTTTGTTAGCTCTGAGAATCACCATTACCATCATTTGTTTCACCTTCCGGGGCTCGTCATACCAGCCACATTCATAAACAGTTGTAGATATGTTGATACTCTAAAATAAATCAAATAATTAATTTGTATAGCATATTTTTCTTTTGGAACTGTAAGAAAAAAGTGAAAGCTATGAACCGGCAACTTTTATATATTTTTGAATGTGTAAATTAATTATTAGTCTGGCGCGCAAAATTAATTTAAACGAGTGTCTGGTTCTGCTCGTTTGTGACGTCATTTAGTGCAATCCAGAATATGATAAGGAACGGATGGCCGACAGCATGAGTAAAAAGAGTCTAGAAACAGCCACATTCATTTTGCCCCGAGGATCCGCATGCGCGTTTCTTTAGATTAGGTTATTTTTTCATCGGAATAGGAATTGGAGACCAAATAGCAGACGACCGAGAAACCGTTTGTTTTCGATCGCACTAAATGACGTCACAATGCGTTCTTGACCACCTGATAAAATTTAGGTTTCCACATAATTATCAAAATTATGTTTTAAGAGTATATTTGAATTGTGAAATGATCCTTCGATCTATACCTATACATCACGCAATTTTTTTAAAAATAAATTTTGTAGATAAAATTATATCTATTTACTGGTATACTCACTTCTAACATGATTTCATTAGCATACCAGTAATAAACCAACAATCTTATTACCATACAAATTGCGAATTCTCCATAGAATACAACATTAAAGAATGTTGGTGTAGTCTGAAAAATAAAAACTTCTTGATCAGATATTACTCAAATCATGGGCGCTCTCTGGAAGGGGTTCAAGTGATTAGGTAATAATTTATTAAAGTCGCAATAGTAGATATAAGAAATTATCATGCAATATAGGGCCATCATTCATAAGTAGGTACTGAAAGTAGTTATATTAAAGAAAATAAATAATAAAATGTTATGGACATAAACATTATATTCTCGCACTAAGGTCCGACAGTAAATCGTACATTCCAGATTCGTAGGTACTTCGTTTTCACATGAAATAGATATAGTGGTAAAGAAACTGAGCATTTTTACCTGTAATTAAAAAATTTGGTTAAAAATCCACCAGTTGAACTATACTCCGCGGTAGAAATTATAGAGAGTGACTCAGATATAATATAAAAACACTATTACCATAATGCGTATAAAATATAAAATGATTTTTATATGGCTCAATATTATTTATTTTTGTGCCGCTCGCTACGCACATCGATAGAATCTATAATCGTCTATATATTGAGTTACACTGAACGTCGATCTTTATTAGTGATGGGAATAATCGAATGAATTAAATAATCGAGAGGTTACCGTTCGAATTAATTTTACAATCGAATGATCATTCGAATGATATATAATCGAACGTTCACTTTGAAAATTTTCGGTCTATCCCAAATCATATGCGAAACATGTTGACGCTAGGTAAATGAATTACTGTCGCGGATTGGGACATTTCTTCAATATTTCTTTGTTGCCAATTGAGTGGTTCAGCAGCATGTGTTTAAAATGAGTAGTCGCCGCCTAAAGAGGTCCATTGTTTGGGATTTTTTTGAAAAAAAAAAATTATATAGAAAACATAATTTGGTATTATTTTCATTCGTATGAATTTTTATCCCCGCTAAATAAAGCTCCCATCTAACCCCC